GGACATTTGGGAGAGTTGACGGGGAGGAATGATGGGTGAATATGATCATATTTCTCTGTGTACTTGTATGGCATTCTCAGAATTTTTGTCAGATCCTCTGGGAATGGGGTTACTGACTGCTGTGGGCCCCCACATGTGGGTGCTGGGAATTGAACCTAGATCCTCTGCAAGAGAAAATGTTCTCTTAACCAATGAGCCATCTCTCCAACCTCTCAAAGAATAATTTTAAATATCACTTTCTCTCTTACAAATTTAGGGAAGAGTGGTAGTAATACAATAGACTTCTGTTGTTGTTGTTGTTGTTTTAATATTTTGAGATTTTTTTGGTTGTTTTGAGACAAAGTTTCTTGGTGTAACAGCTCTGGCTGTCTTGAAACTCGCTCTGTAGACCAGGCTGACCTCAGACTCAGAGAGCCACCTGCCTCTGCCTCCCAAGTTCTGGGATTAATGGCATTCTACACCCTGCCCTCCCTATGACTTTGTGTTTCCATGGGATTTCTGTGTGTATGAATATGTGTGCCTCTGCACCTGTATTTGTTTCTTTTTTTTTTCAAATTATAAATGTTTGATTGGTAGTTACTAACTAGCTCTTATGATGATGGAAGTTTCTATCCTGTCAGGTCCTGCAGTCCCAAATAAACACACAGAGACTTATATTAATTATAAACTGTTTGGCCTATTGCTCAGGCTTATTACTAACTAGCTCTTACAACTTAAATCAACCCATAATTCTTTTTTTTTTTTTTTTTTTTTTGGTTTTACGAGACAGGGTTTCTCTGTATTATTTTGGGTTTCCCCATAATTCTTATCTATGTTTAGCCACATGGCTTGGTACCTTTTCTCAGTAAGGCATTCTCATCTTGCTTCCTCTGCATCTGGCTGGTGACTTCATCTCTGTCTTCCTCTTCCTAGTCTGGTAGCCCAGCCTATATTTCCTTTCTGGCTACTGGCCAATTAGCGTTTTATCAAACAAATATGAGTGACAAATTGTTACAGTGAACAAGAGCATTGTCCCACATCACTCTTACACTTAAATTAACCATAATTCTTGCTCATGTTTAGCCACGTGGCTTGGTAGTTTTCCTTAGTGCAGCGTTTTCATCTTGTATTCTCTGTTGCTAACTGGCAACTCCTGACTCCCCTGTATTTATGTCTTTGGCTCTTGTTTTTCTGTTTGTTTTGTTCTATTCTGCTTCTTTTGGGGCTTCTTTGTGTCCTAATGAGAAAGAAAACAAGAAGGAAGGAAGGAGGAAGGGTGTATTGGGTGGGTGGGAAGGATCTGAAAGGAGATGGGTGAGGGGACATGTGACCAGAATGTATTGTATAAAAATAATATATTTTCAATTTTATAAAGTTTAGGCCAGGTGAGGTGGCATATGTCTTTAATCCCAGCACTCAGGAGGCAGAAACAGGGTAATGTCTGTGAGTTCAAGACCAGTGTGGTCTACAGAGTGCATTCCAGGACAGCCAGGGTTGTTACACAATGAAACTCTGCCTTGAAAAACCAAAAAAAAAAAAAAGTTTAACATGAGTTAATGCAATTGGACAACTGCCATAACCATACCAACTCTACCAGAGTTCTGTAGAGGGATAACACAACTGACATTAGCTATTTGTTATAACAGACTCCTCAACAAAGAACAAGCACCTGAAAACTTTGTAAAAGAAAAAGTAGAAGTTAAAGTCAGCATCTAAGGAATGAATGATGAGTTTGAACTCTGTCTCAAAAAGCAAAACAAACAAAAAACAAAAACCAGAACCCAGGAATAGGTTCTAGTTTTAAATTGTGAAATTTCTGAATGACAATAAACTTCTCTTCAGACACAGCAATCCAAATCAGACAAAATTAGAAAAAGCCCAGGTTTAATGGGTAAAATGCTCCAGGATGATTTTCTGTTCCCTTCCCCCAGAGAGGAGATGGGGAAGAGAGATAGTTTAAATACCCTGTGGGAGTGGTCTCCAATAGCCCTGGGGAAGTGCTAACTCTTAGTGTGCTTTCTGAGAGGAGCAGGTTCTGGGGGGAGGGTGAGAGAGAAGGGGCTTCCGCCTAATCATCCCAAACTTTTTGGGTAGATGGATGCCTGGGGCAGGGGTGAAGCTTCTACCCGAACACATTGGAGTCTTCATATCTTCTCGTCATCATCTCTTTAAACTGATGAATCCCATTTCATTAATTCATAAAACAGATTTTATATTTGGGTACAGATTACTGACTTCTAGTCTCACCCTTTGTCTGAATATGTGATCAAGACAGAATTCTCCAAACCTGTTCAGAAGATCCAACAATGACAATAAAACAAGATATCTTCTTGAGGTGGGATAGGAAGACAGAGAAAAATTGAGAAGGAAAGAATCCTCCTCTTGGAATCTGGTTGAAATCTTTGCCACAAGAAAAAAAAAAACAAGAATTCTAGCACAATTAGCAACTGTTTAACACCCTCCTCCTCGAAAGCTTTGGAGGCTGTCTTGGAACTCACTCAGTAGACCAGGCTGGCCTCGAACTCATCTGTCTCTGCCTCCCAAGTGCTGGGATTAAAGGCATGTGCCACCACCACCTAGCTGCTGTCATTTTTCTATGAGAAGTGCACACCTGTGTACTGGAGTGGGCCTTACTTTCTCCTGAGTGCCCCCTTTTCTCCTAATTCTTGTGCTGAATCCTATCTTAAAATATGTTTGCTAATATCTCCAACTGTGTGTGCTTCATTGTGGCTGGCTCTGAATTATTTTCTGCATTAAAATACAAAATCCCTATTGGACCTAAATTGATATCCCTAGAAGATTAGGACACTGTCTCAGGACAAGGTATGATGTGTGCAGAAGTGTCTCTGTCCCTTCCCTGCTGGCATGAATCTAGGGATGTCAGAACATAAGGAGCAGGTATCCACAGATCACCTTGTATTTCCCCCAGAACTCCAACAAGTAAAAACTGTGTAAAGCTCATATTGTTTTTCAATCACTCATGTCTACCCACTACAATGCTTTAAGAGCCTAGTACCTGAATGAGAATAGCTAATGTCCCCAGGAAGATATTCCAAATCTATGTTAGAGATTCCAAAAGACTGATGGAATCTTCAATAACTTGGGAGAGTTGAAATGTTCTATGTTGGGAGCCAGCTTTATCCTAGGCAACGTTGGCATTATAAAAGTCATTTGTTAGGAAGTTCTATGTTTGACCTGACATCATTGTGACCTAGGTCTTCCAACGGCACTAAGAGTGTCACCAGCATCCCAGTCTTCTAGCGGGCACCTCTGCTTTGCTGTGAACTTTTTGTTTGTTTGTTAGAGACAGGGTTTCTCTGTGTTTTTGGAGGCTGTCCTGGAACTAACTCTTGTAGAGCAGGCTGGTCTCGAATTCACAGAGATCCACCTGCCTCTGCCTCCAGAGTGCTGGAATTAAAGGCGTGCGCCACCAATGCCCGGGTATCACTCTTTATTTTTTGAGACAGGATCTCTTTACATAGCCCAGGCTGGTTTGGGACTCTCTGCTGCATGATATGAGAGTTAATGTTAGTCATTAAGATTTGAATAAAGAACCTTGTCCAGGCTGGTCTTAAACATACCTGCTGCCTGCTTTTACTTCCCAAAGGCTAGGATTAAAGTCATGTACCATCATGCTGGGTAATTTTGAATTTTCTTCTTAAGGTTCATTACACTCAGTTTATAACCCACATGTATTTAAGACTTTTCCAAAGACTAAATAAATACACAAACACCCCCCACAAGTTCTTTCTTCTGTAACAATAAACAAATGCTTTTTCGAGACACCATCTCTCTACATAGGCCCTGATTGTCCTGGAACTCACTATGTAAACCAGGCTGCCTTGAATTCAACAGAGATCTGCCTGCTTCTGCCTCCAGATTGCTAGGAGTATTTAAATGATGACTTTCATACAGTTTGGGAAAATGAAGACTTACGAAATTGGTTAGTTACCTTGTAATCCATACTCTAAAGTTAAATCATGTAAACGAAGGGACCAGCCCCCTGCTTTAGTGGCCATGACAGGATACAGAAAAGATTCAACATGTGCTTGCTTGACCTTGCTGAGCCTGCCCTAGTTACTAGGAGGTCAGACACCCTTCTCGTGGCAAGGAGCCAATCAGAAGTTAGCTGGCAGGGTTGTGCTCTGGGTGTGCTTTATGGTACAAGTGTACAATAGTGATGTGTAGAGCATAGCAACTGCCCTGGGAGGGCCTGTGGGCCATAACAGTTGACTCTTCAACACAGGGTGGTCCAAGCCCAGAAGAGCACCAGTCCTGAGACTGTTGCTACCCCTAGATACTCCCCTTACTCTACCCAATATCCCATCCCATCCCATCCCCATCCGGCCCCCCTGGCTTCTCGGGGGTCCTTCTCAGGTCATCCACAGTATGAGTAGACTCGAAAGACCCTGCCCTAATGGGGTTAGTTGATTAAACAATAAAAGACTCTTTGCTTTTGCATCGGAATGGGTCTGTTGGTGACTTTGGAGGTTCAGAATTTGGGCACAACATAAACATTGAAAGGTAAACTTAAGACACACAAGGACAGCAACAGTTAACCACTTAACAGGTCGAAATACTCAAAATGTCTTGTGTTAAGGGATGAAACCTTTAAGAAGTAAGGAATATGGACTACCGAGAAAACATTAGCAGAAATTGGCTTTTGCTTTTCTTTTAAGTATTGACCTTAATGATCCAATGAGCAGAGATCGTAAACCTAACATCGCTTTTTAGTGACAATACTAGTTTCATGTTGATAACTGTAGAATGTAAATATATGCTAAATTAGATATTAAAATTCCAATATTATAACACTATTTAGAAAAAAATGTATTATCCATTAGCAATCATTCCAAGAGCAAAATTAGTCGATCTCAACACTGACAACAAAATGTAAGTAGGTTTCATAGAGACTGGGCGCTCGCTTGCCCAGCGCGCATGCGTATGAGGACACGGGGACTACATTTCCCACAATCTCCCTGTACTTCCGGCGTGGCCCGGCAGCGGGATCGCTCCGCTTCCGCGTTCGGGCCTGGCTCTGTGTTAGAGGCGGCGGCGGTGTCTGTGGCGGCGAGGGACGCGAGCTACGGGCATGGACGTTTCGGGGCAGGAGACCGACTGGCGTAGCGCCGCCTTTCGGCAGAAGCTTGTCAGCCAAATGTGAGTGTGACCGGGGGCGAGGACCGGGTGGTCGGACGTTCCCCGCCGGAAGGTTGAGGCCAAACCGGACCGCCGTAGACCCTGGCGGGAACCTGCGGGGTCCGCTGGGCGCCGGGTACGTGCGCGGGGTCCTTCTACGGTCTCCCCGGCTTGTCTGGGCAGACAGGGAGTGCTGGCTAGTTTTTCTGGGGTCTAACTGCAAACCCAGCAGCCCTGGCTAGTGAGTCATCGCACTGAGCCGCCTCGTCATTTGTGTGCTTGAGTGCAAATTTTCCTCTGCTTAGATTCGCACTGAATACAGACAGAAAGAGAAAGAGGCAGCCAAAGATTTACCAGGAGTGCCGCACGGCTTGTTTACGAAAAAGAGAAACAAAACAAAACCACATCAGTGAGTTGGAGGAGGGTGGAAGGAAAATTGGAAGATTAGTAGGTGTTCAGGCTGTGGGCAGTGGGGCCAGAGAATAGTGTTCTCTTCCACAAGGTGTGTGATCTTGGCCGTGGCAGGGAGCCGCTGTGGAGGATCAGGGAACGAAGTGGCTGGGATGTCCTCTGCTCATGGAGCACTGGTGAGGGCTTCTTTCTCTTAGCCCTTTTACTGAGCTTCCGGAAGCGTTTAGAAAATTGCTTTTGGCACAGTCTTTTCCCTGAGGGTTGGTACTGTTGGTAAAGGAACAGATAGTACAGTTGTGTCGATGCTCGATCATGTTGTGGGTGCTAAAGTGTTAGATGAGTAGGAATGGAGCAGCCTGGTGACAGATTGAGCTCTAGAAAGAAAAGTAGGAGGGTGACAGGCCACCTTTCCCAGCATATGACTGCGAAATCATCGTGAAGGACTGTTGTAGGTGGAGACTTCTGAGTCTTGGAAGCAGAATAGTCAAGGAGATAGGTCAGGGTGAGCAGGTGCTGGCATGGTTGGTGATGGTGGTGTTGGGCAAACTTGTATCCGTGTTTACATGTGGTCTGCCTGGAGGTGGTCCATCGTGAGTGTTGGGAAGGTCCCTGAGTTCCTGGAGATGAATTAAGGACCCAAGAGAGGCCAGGTAGGCAATTAGATAGGCAATTTTTGGAGTGGTTTTGCTCTGGAGGGGTTGGTGGAGGTTCCTTTTTTTACTCACATTTCCACTGCTAGATCACTATCGAGCATATGGGTTCATGAATTGGTTGTAAAAGACATAGTTGGCAAAGATTATAAAGGCCCACGAGATGATGGAAATTGAAAGAGGAAGACAGATTCCAGAGAAAAGGGAATGTGTGGACACATTGGTGACTTACTGGATGGAGGGGGTGGGGGAAGCTGGGTGGAAGGAAGGAAGCTGGGCTACATGTGGGTAAGCATCAGTACAGTGGAAGGAAGGGTACCGGATCAGTGCTTGGTACCACCACAGAATAACTACCGGACAGGTTTGCAAACAGTTCAGCAAACAAGTGTTTTTATTTTTGTTTTGTTTTTGTTTTGAGACAGGGTTTCTCTGTGGCTTTGGAGGCTGTCCTGGAACTAGCTCTGTAGACCAGGCTGATTTTGAACTCACAGAGATCTGCTTGCCTCTGCCGAGTGCTGGGATTAAAGGCGGGCACTACCACCACCCGGCTGTTTTTGGCTTTTTGGGACAGGGTTTCTCTTCCTAACAGCTATGGCTGGCCTGCAACCCACAGAGATCCACCTGCTTCTGCCTCCCAATTGCTGGCATTAAAGGCATGAACCACCACAGTCCAGCTAATGTAAGCTTCTTGATGGAACCTTTGGGGGCATAACCTGCTTCCAACCCCATTCAAGTTGCTGGCCAAATTCTACTGCTTACACTTGTAAGACTGAGCTATCCTTTTTCCATCCTGGCTACTTGCCAGAGTCAGTATTTGTTTCTGGAGATTGTACCTTGTGCTTTGCTTTCTTTGTGACCTATTCTAACATTGGCTGGTTTTTCTGACACTCCAGATGCAGCTTGGAGAGCATTCTCTGAATTTCACAGGTCAGTTTAGAATAATGGAATATGATCTTTTTTTATTAATTATTTTAATTTTGTTTAATTTTTTTCTTTTTTCTTTTTTTTTTAAAGATTTATTTATTTATTACATATACAGTGTTCCGCCTACATACCAGAAGAGGACATCAGACTGAATTGTAGATGGTTGTGAGCCACCATGTGGTTGCTGGGAATTGAACTCAGGACCCTTGGAAGAGCAGTCAGTGCTCTTAACCTCTGAGCCATCTCTCCAGCCCCAATGGAATATGATCTTATTGTCTGCATCCTTAACCACATCTGTAAGCCCCTTTTGAGGTATGGTGAAGGATAGTCACAGGTTCCAAGGAGTAGGGCCTATGTATCTTTGTGGAGGTAGGCACCATTTGCCTACCACATTCCGGTGAGCATATCAAAGGTTGACTTTTAAGAGCAAGCAGGTGTCTTGGTTTGCTTTCTATTGCTGTGAAAAACAAAAACACCATGACCAAAAAGCAACTTGGGGAGGAAAGAGTTTATTTCATGTTACACTTTATCCCCACCATCAAGGAAACCAAAGACAGGAACTCAACCAGGGCAGGAGGGACAAGAGAGATGACTCAATAGTTAAGACCACTTGTTACTCTTGCAAAGACCCCAGGGTTCCATTATAGGCACCTTCGTGGTGTCTCATAGTTGCAAGGGATCCAAAGCCCTGTTCTGACTTGAGCAGGCACCAGGCATAAACTGGTGCATCTCCATATATGCAGACAAAACTTTTGTACACATAAAAAGTAAGTAAAAGTTGGAGAGCTGTGGTAGCACACCTTTAATCTCAGCACTTGGGAGGCAGAGACAGGCAGATCTCTGTGAGTTTGAGGCCAGGCTGGTCTATAGAGTTCCTGGACAGTCAGAGCTGTAGAGAGATCCTGTCTCAAAACAACAAAACATGTATATGCAGAGCAGCAAAGATTGGAGGAGTGTTGTCTACTTCTCCATGGCTTGTTTACCTGCTTTTCTTTACAACAGTGGGTTGGGCCCCCCATATCAATCATTAATCAACAAAATTCCCCACAGGCTTGCAGGCCAATCTGATGTGGGCATTTTTTAGTTGAGGGTCACTCTTCCCAGATGACTGTAGCCTGTGTCAAGTTGACAGACAACTAAGCAAGCTTATTGGGTGCTCTTATTTCTTCAGTTTGCTTGTTTTCTCTCCCGGGTTTACCTTGTGAGTCAATTTCTTGTATTCATAGAGTTTAAGAGGATTTATATTGAGCTAATCTACTAATCTATACTTTTTTTTTTTTTTTGGTTTTTCGAGACAGAGTTCCTCTGTGGCTTTAGAGGCTGTCCTGGAACTCGTTCTGTAGACCAGGCTGGCCTTGAACTCACACAGAGATCCGCCTGCCTCTGTCTCCTGAGTGCTGGGATTAAAGGCGTGCGCCACCAACACCGGCTACTTTTTTTTTTTTTAAAGAAAGAATTTCTCTGTGTAACAGCCTTAGCCGTCCTGAAACTGGCTTTGTAGACCAGGCTGGCCTTGAACTCCCAGAGATCCACCTGCCTCTGCCTCCCAGTGCAAAGATTAAAGCCATGTGCCACCACTGCCTGCCAAATCTACACATCTTTTGTTCTGACTTCTTCCAGTATTTATACTGTTGTTTAAATTTGGCCATTTTAGGAAACGCTTCAAACTCTAGTGATTTATAATAGATGAGAAATAATGAAAGCTTGGGGCTTGTGTATCTTTGTGGAGGGGCAACATTTGCCAACCACATTTGGGTGAGCATATCAAAGGTTATAGGGAGTAGCTCAGTAGGAGGTCATTTATGTAGTTCCCAGGAAGCCATGGGTTCAGTTGTTAGTTGTTGGGGAGCATGGAACTACTTGGAAGGTTCTGTAAACTTTCAGTGGAGAGGAAACACCTCTCACTGAGGAAGAAGCAAGTTTGACATTTCTAACTGGCAGTCTAGTCTTAGCCTTCCACTGTGTCTACCTTTCTGGCTTTTACTAGATCGCACAAATGAGGGCAATGGGTAGCCCAATGCCATCATCAGGCAGTCCACTGAACTGTACTCAGGTTTTTCTTTTTTGTAGCTCTCCTTGTGGTTCAGTTTCTCTGATCTTTCCGTTTTAGCATTCAAAGTTCTTCCTTTATTTCTTTGTTTTTACTTGCTGGAGATTGAGCCCAAGGTCTTGGGTGTGCTTAGCATATACTCTGATCCTGATCCATACTTCTAGCCACTGTTTCTTTTAAACATCTGTTCCTAAGTATTTAGGCTGTCCAAAGATTGTGACTGAAGACTGTCTCTACCATTGTCATAAGCTGCTTGCTCTTCTTCCTTTCAGTGTCTGCTTTGGTGTCAGATACTTAGGATCCATCCCTGTCCCCTCATCTAAAGTGGGTCACCCTCTGGTAAGTTTAATTCAGTCCTTTTTAGTTTCTCAGAGCACTCCAGTCCTCTGCAGGATGAAGAGTATGGGAAGCAGTGTTTTACTGGGGACCACCTGGTCAACCTCTCCTGTTACAGTGACCATTGTTATGTGCTGTGAAGCTGGATTCTTCCCCTTCTCTACTCATTGCCTTTGTGACCTTGGCACTGCTTGACCTTTCATCTGTGAAATGATACTAGTCTAGTTTGTCTCACAAGGATGCTTGGAGGGACACTGTAGAGAGTTGTGCAAGCTTTGCAGGGTCTGGGGATTGACTGAGCAGAAAACTCTTCCAGTGACCTCGCAGTGATAGGAGACACTTTGGCTTGGGTTGATGAGGGTAGTATCTCTAAGCCCAGTGTAGTTTGATGCAATGACATCTAAAGAAACCCAAAGGAGGAAAGTAAGTAGGATACAATTGATTGGTTCACATTGACTATTAATGAAGCAGCCATATTCCCTGCAGAACCCCTGGAGAGACCCTTCTTATATCCTCCTGATCAGGGCTTTGTTGGGCTTCCTTGGGATTTTTTTTTTTTTTTTTTTTTTTTTTGATTTACGAGACAGGGTTTCTTTGTATTGTTTTGGAGGCTATCGGTCCAGCCCAGCCTCGATCTCACAGAGATCCACCTGCCTCTGCCTCCCGAGTGCTGGGATTAAAGGCGTGCGCCACCATCGCCCGGCATTCCTTGGGAGTTTTGATTCATGCTTATATGTCCCTGGTCTTCAGGCTCTTGGAAAGCAAGTATGCATCCATCCTGACTTGTTCATACCTAGCATCAAGTAGGTCTACAGCAAATGCATGAGCAGTTAGTGAATGCCAGAACATCACCAGCTACTTCTCAGGGTTTCTGTGTGTATATGTAAGTCACAAATTGATGCTGTTTACAACTTCTCTCTACCATATGTTTTAAGACAGTATCTCTCACTAGTCCTGAGCTCACTGATTTAGCTACACAGATTGGCAGCAAGCCCCAGAGATCCTCCTTTTTCCACCTCCCCAGCTCTAGAATTACAAGTTTGTGAATTCAGCTTTGTACATAGGTGCCAGATCTCAAACTCAGGTCCTAGTGCATTCCAGTAAGCCCTTTACCCACTGAGCCATCTCCCTAGCCTGTTCCCTGTTCTTAATTTTCCTGCTATGCTGTTACCCCCCATGTAAGAACCTTAATAAACTGAGCACTGTTATTGAGTAACGTAACGTAAAAACTGATAGAATATGTGCCAAAATGACCATAAACTTTATGTCAAGGGTAACTTACTCTTGAGGGTTTTAGCTCTGGTACTCTTTAGTGTAGCACATTCTCTCTCTCTCTCTCTCTCTCTCTCTCTCTCTCTCTCTCTCTCTCTCTCTAGTGTAGCACATTTCTCTCTCTTTTAATTTTTTTTTTGAGACAGTTTCTCTTGTAGTTTTGAGACTGTCCTGGAATTCGCTCTGTAGACCAGGCTGGCCTCAAACTCACAGAGATCCACCTGCCTCTGCCTCCCAAGTGCTCAGATTAAAAGCATGGGCCATCACCGCTCGGCTGTTTCTAAACAGATGCAGGAAGGGGTAGCAGCAACTGGGGAAAGGTAGGTTTGTGTTAGTGTCCTGGTAAAATGTCAGAAGGCCAAGGAGAGCATGCTGTGTGGCTGGAGCAGACAGGCAGTTGCCAGTGATTTCTGGTGTTTGTCCACCTCCCTACCCCCCCCAAGTCTCACTCTTCATGGTAGCACATACCCAGCACTACCAGCTTAGGGAGGCAGAGGCAGGCGGATCTCTTGAGTTTGAGGCCAGCCTGGTCTACAAGCTAGTTCTAGGACAGCCAGGGTTACACAGAGAAACCTTGTCTTGAAAAACCAGACAAACAAACAAAAAGCCAAGGGTTTAATGTAGTCCAGGCTAATGTTGAACTCATTATGTATCAACCCATACTCAGCTAGCTGTGTTGAGTTAACACATGTTGTCATCATGTACCTCTTTTTTTTTTGTGGGTTTTGAGGTAGGATATCACTGGGTAGACTGGGTAATATGAACTGGTCTGGAGATGCTAATATTGTAGGCATGGGCCAGTCACCATGCTCAGAGCTGGATGCACTTGTCCCATTGTAAGGTGAGGAAGCAGACCTAGAGAAGAGCTCACTGCTGTTGTAGTTAGTTACTCTTCATATTACAGGTGGATGCTGATTGGATCATACTGTGGTATTAAAGGCAAATAGCTTTTAAATATCTGGGAGAGCAAGATTCTATCCATTTCATGGACCTGGGTAAGGGAATGCTCAAAGTGCAGTGGAAGCCTTTAGAGAGGAGCCTGCTGCTACTGAGTCTACAGTTTATGTTAGGAATTCTCCATAGATCCTTAGAGACTGGAGTACAAACCCCTAATGCCTTTTTTTCCCCTTTAGGGAGGCAGGTTGAGAGTCTCACACAGCTTAGGTTAGCCTTGAATTCAAGGTCCTCTACCTTGCTGGTGTTGGGATTACAGTCACCACACCTAATTTCCTGATGATCTTTGACCTCTTGCCACAGACTGAGATCTACCATGAACCTACTAGAACTGAGATACCAATTTTCTGATCAGAGATCTTTCAGCTATTGCCTGATGGTGACTGAGCCTGTGGCACCTTGATGATGGTGCTGGACATACTGAAGTTTGGGGATCACTGACTAGGGCAAAGCCATTGCCTTAAATTATTCCTTATGTGGATAATAGTTTCAGTTAGATACCCGAGGGAAAAGGAATTCTAGTGAACTTTCCAAACTTCAAGTGGGCAATTAAAATCATAAAACCAAGCAGGATAGTTCAGAGACCCTTATGTCCTATTTTTTTGTACTCTTATCTTCTCTCCTCAGCTGTTCCGATACCCAGGTTATGTTTAGTGGCTGCCCATTGCCTATAGACCCAACTCTTGAGTGTTCATCCTTCCTCCAGGGCCTGCACCTGTATGCCCTACCCTCATTCTACATTATATCCAACCAGGCTGCCTGTGAATCCTCAGATGAACCAAACTCTTTCCTTGGCTGCTGTTGCTTTGTTTGTTCTGCCTGAAAGACCCATCCTTTCTGTTGCTGAGCTGGGCAATTCTTCCAGGACAGTGAGCTTCCTGTCCTGTCCCTTGTCCCTGCAAGTCAATGAAGATAAAGCAGTTTGTTTCATACTAGTCTTAACTCTATGGGGAAGGAACAGCATGAATTAGCATTGGAATTAGCATCCACTCCTGTCTGGTCATGAGTGTTAGAATGCACAGGATTCTTGAGTCTGTCTGACACAGGTTTCCTGAGTACTCTTGTGGGCCTGTTGAGGTGTGGTGCTGGGGTTCACTGTTGAGTACTTAGCTTGAGTAAAGACAGAAGTGACACATGAAGATGTTGGTCAACCAATTAAATCAGCTTGGGATACATAAATGAGGATAAACCACCTACCAGTACTCTTCAAGTGTTAATTTCCTTAGCCATTTCTTCCCAAGACATAATCCAAGAGTGTTCATGCTCTGGTGAGATGGGATACTCACTATTGCATCATGGAATGGAGCTTTTTGTATTTTTTAAGATTATTTTTGTTTTTATTGTGTGCACAAATGTGTGTGTGTGTGTGTGTGTGTGTGTGTGTGTACATGCGCATATATGTATGCACTTGGATACAGGTGCCCTTGGAGACGAGAGTCCCTTGAAGCTGGAGCTATAGGTGCTGTGAATCAAATTTAAAACCTCTGCAAGAGTAATATGTTCTCTTAATCTCTGAGCCACATTTCTTAAAGTGGAACTTTTTTTTAAAAGACAGGGCTTCTTTGTGTAGTTCTGGCTGTCCTGGAACTCGATCTGTAGACCAAACTGGCCTTGAACTTGGAGATCTGCCTGCCTCTGCCTCCTGAGTTGTGGGGTCAAAGGTGTGCACTACTGCCTGGCTACTGTGACTTCTTATCAGTTGTGCTCCTGATGACTGTGGAGACCAGTAGAAGGGGTCAGAGCCCCAGGAACTGAAGTTGCAGGTGGTTGTGAGCCACTGTGTGACTGTTGGGAATCTGCCCAGGTCCTTTGGAAGAGCAGCTAGTGCTCATAACTGCTGAATCATTTCACTAGTCCCCTTTTCTCATTAACACTGACTTTCAAAGAAAAAAAAAGATATATTTTTATTTTATGTGATGAGTGTTTGCTTGCATGTATGTAAGCACATTGAATATGTACCTGGTGCCCTCAAAGGCCAGAAGAGGGAGGGTGACAGATCCCTGGAATTGGAATTGCTGATAGTTGTAAGCATTATGTAGGTGCTGGAAACTGAAACTGGGTCTTCTGTAAATATCAGGTGCTCTAAACCACTGAACCATTTCTCGTCGTGTTTTTTTTTTTTTCTGCTGTTGTTTTGGTTTTCTGAGATAGGATTTCTCTGTACAGTCCTTGCTGTCATAGAACTCTGTAGATCAGGCTGGCTTTGGACTCAGAGATCCACCTGCCTCTGCCTCCTGAGTGCTGGGATTAAAGGTATGCACCACCACTGCCTGGCTCTTTTTTTTTTTTTTTTTTTTTTTTTGATTTTAAACTGGATCCTGATGAGTAGTTCAGGCCTATGAATCAAGATCTTCCCATTGTTGATTGTGCTCCTTCACACCTTTTCAGAAATGTGTGTCTGTAGTTCTAGTACTTTCATGTAATTTCAGGGTTTTAAGGCTAGCATATAGGTCTTAAAATTTTTATTTTTACTTTATCTTATGTGTATGAGTGTTTTGCTTGTATATATGTGCACTGCATCATTCAGTGCCTGCAGAAGCCCGAAGAGGGTACCAGGTTCCCTAGAACTGGGGTTGCTATGGTTGTAAATTGCTATGTGGGTATTGGGAACCTACTCCAAGGTGTATATAGTCACTTTTCTTTCTGGACTGTTGGTGTCAGAATGGAGTCAGGCTGTGTTGGGACATGGCCCTTATTTACCACATTGCCCTGAATAGTTTTCTTTTTGGTTTTTTGAGACAGAGTTTCTCTGTAATCCTGGCTGTCCTGGAACTCCC